TCTTCCTTCCTTCCTTCCTTCCTTCCTTCCTTCCTTCCTTCCTTCCTTCCTTCCTTTCTCTTTCTCTCTAAAAAACAAACATTAAAGAAAGAAGTTATAAAAATAAGAGAGTAGTCTCAAAGAATTTAGAAAGAAGAAAATAACAAGATACGGTCTGGAAATAAATAGAAAACAAACAAAAAGAGATGGTCAAAGAAACTAAAAATGGACTCTGAAAACTCCAATCAAATGGACAAATATACAGCTAAACTAGTCAAGAAAGAAAAAGAAACACTATAGGAAGGCAGAAGGGGACCCAACCACAGATATAAAAGAGATAAAAAATCACCATGGATAAATACCGTGATCAATTTCATGGCATTTATGTGTCTATGCAGCAGACGCAAGGTGGCTACTGCATCTGTGTTGTGATCCGTTATGAACCCTGTGCTCTGTTTTTGTGTGTTATGGTCTGTCATAATAACACAACCATAACATCTCAGTGGCTTCGACACAACAAACATTTCTTTCTTGCTCATGCTGTAGGTACAGCATGGGTGTGGGTGGGGACCTGTTTGAGGTAGTGACTTAGGCTCATCCAGGCTGATGGAAGATGAAACCCTTTCACACATGCTGCCAGGGTCCTGAAATTGGAGAATCTAGAACTCTCAGTCAAGAGCATCTTTCTATGTGGAGGGCTTGGAGATGCACCTCTCAGATCGCCTTTGAAGAGAGAGCCTGCTGTGAGGAATGGGGTTGGCTAACAACCCCCAGCTTGGCACCTTTGGATCTGCTGCCACGCCCCAGCTGATGCCAAGCTCTCTCTGGGCAGCTCACAGCCCAGCCAGGTTCCTAGGGCCTGGCCATCTCTGCCCAACAAAGGGCTCCCTCACAAGCAATCTGTATTTGAAGTTCTCCTTGGCCTTGGCCAAGACTTTCTCAGAGCTACATCACAGTCTGGGTTTCTTTCTACCCAGTTCTCTTTAGATATCCCTCTTTTTTTTTTTTTTTTAAGTTTATTTACTTTGAGAGAGAGAGCATGGGACTGAGGCAGAGCAAGAGGGACAGAGAGAGAGAGAGAGAGAGAGAGAGAGAGAGAGAATCCCAAGAAGGCTCCAAATTGTCATTATAAAGCCTGATATGGGGCTCAAACTCAAGAACCTTGAGATCATGACCTGAGCCAAAGTCGGATGCTTAACCAACTGAGCCACCCAGGCACCCCATATATATCCCTTTTCATATTTCCCCCATGGGGGTTAGACCTCCAATGCAGTCTGAAGGCTTTCCCTGCCTACTTGTGATCCTGCTCTTCGGGATCTTTTGGGTAGTACCCATAACAAGTATCTCCTGCCTACCTCCTAACTCCCAGCAGACCAGAACTCACTGAGCCTCTGAGTCATATTTCACTTTTGTTCACATTTTATTGGCCAAAGCTAGTCATATGTCCGTGGCCATCTCCAAGGGGGTAGGGAGCCGAATCTAGAAGAGAACTAATCCAGAAGAGAGAGATAGTACAAAGGGACGCATATGTTCTATCTATGACTACCACTGGTCGAGGGGCTACTACTTACCCCCCTCTCCTTGCCGGCAGAACCCCAGTTTTGTTCAGGTGTCTATGTTGCACTCCCTGTCATGACTCAGGGATAAATTGTAAGTTAACCAGAGTCAATTACAGCCATCCTATTCCCCTTTCTGGTGGTTGAATCAGGAAAAGTCGTATGATCCAAATCCTGGCTAAGGAAGTGGGAGAGGAGCATTCCCAGGGCCCCTCGGCCTGGACCCAAAGGGGGAAGACAAAATCCCCTTTTTGTTGCCGAGTTCTGCTGCGTCCGGTGTATGAGCTACCCAGACCTGGGGCAGCCATCTTGCAGCACTGTGCTCAGGGAAAAGGAGGAAAACAAAACTAAAATCTGGGCTGTCAGACTTCTTTGTGGGGAACTCTTTATGGAAGAAAAACCACGAAAGCAGACTTATTTAGCTCCACATTCTCCTGTGTCTTGCTTACATTTCCTTGCCAGATCAATTTCAGTCATGCACAAATTCTCTCCGCTTTACACCACCTCAGTTCTTGTTTGATGAACGAAAACAACGGCTAACTGGTGTGATTTCACTGGCACAGAGATAGAAGCCAAAAGTGACCAGTCAGGAAATGAGACATGCATTGATGATTTTCTTTTGACTCATTGTTTTTGAAAACATCCAGATGCAATTAACTGTTATTTATAAAAAATAAAATAAATTCCTAAAAAGGAAAGAGGAGACACTAGACATATTCTTTCACCCCACATTAGGGAGAGGATTGACATTTATGGGGCACTTACTATGTGCCTGACACTCTACCAGGAACTTTGCATATATTGTTTCATCAAATGACTTTGCATCGCCTTTTGAAGAAATGTTTAACTCCTTACAAAGGCCATTGTACCCAGTGTGATCTGGTTTTCCTCCCCAACTACCCCTCTCCATCTCTGCTCTAGTCTGGCCATCCTTGCCTTTTGTTCTGTTTGTGAACCATATTCAGCATGTTCTTGCCTCAGGTCTCTTGCACTGGCCATTTCCTCTGTCTGAGATGCTCTTTGCTTGGTCTTTACAGCTTTGATTTCTTCTCATCAATCACACCTCAGCTAAAATACTCCTTCTTTCGAGAGGCCTCCTTGATGATCCTACCTAAAATAGCACCTCTTCTTCTACCCCTAGTCACCTATTTCAGTGCCCTGCTTTATTTCGTTTCCTTCACATGTATAGTACCTAAAATTATCTTTTGTAATTTGATTTTGATCTGTCTCCTCCCACTAGCTTTTTCTTCTGTGCCTTGTTCACTGCTACATCTCAAGCATTTAGAAAAGTGGTTAGCACAAAGCAAATACTCGACGGGGTTTGTTGAAAGAATGAGTAGATAACACACTCTATAACCTTATAAGCAGAGTACATATCATTCACAAGAGTCAGTGACCTCCAACCCAAGACCACCAGGAACATGCTGGTAGTTGAGCTAGCTGGGTTTCCTGCTCTTGCAGTGAAAAAGAAGGCACACCACAGATAACCGTCTCACTGACAGAATGTCAGGAAAGAATCTATAGGATTTGGGTTCAAGTTAAATGATTACAGTTGGGATTTAAGAAAGCAGCACTCTTGGGGGCACCTGGGTGGCTCAGCTGCTTGAGCATCTGACTCTTGATCTCAGTTCAGGTCATGATTCCACGGTTCATGGGATCAAGCCCCTCTTCGGGCTCTGTGGCTTGGTCTGATACTGGTGCTCTGTGTAACTGCGTTTAACAGAAGAACACAAGAGCCGGGTGGTGTCAGGCCACTTACTAGATGTCAGGGTCTGTCTTTCTCTTTCTTACAAGTATCCTAGGGCTGGAGTGCAGTGTCAGCACAGAAATAAGCAAGAGTGTTTCCTTTGGCTATTTGATGCTCCTCCCTTCCTTCTCTCCCCACCAATTTTGGGTTTGTATGGGGGTAGCCACTGAACAAAGATGGTGGAGGCCGAGGTAGAGAACAGTGCTTCTAGAAGTCAGAAAACTCAGAAACACCTTTATTTGCTGAAGAATTAATTACCACCTCAGAACATACCCAAATATATTTAATTTTCAAATGAGGGACGGTATATCCTGAATGAGATTACCCCACACTTACCATTGCCTCAAAGGTCATGTTAATAGTCCACCAGGGCCTTGGTTCTAGTTCAAGGTTTTCTCTAAGTACAACTGTATTGTTTTGGAAAAGTGTTTTAACCAGTTTCCTAGCATCCTCTGGGCTCCCGTAGCACCCTGTATTCCTTTGCTAACATCCCTGCTTATATTGTAATTAATCTGTTTATAATCTGTCTGCCTGGTTAGACTGTCTCCTACATGTTTGTATCACTGAAACTTAATTTTAACAAAGGACTTGGCACAGGCTACACTCTATAAATATCAAATAGATTTAAAATGGAGATTTAACTCCTGGCTTGCATTCATCTCACAAAACATTTACTGAGTCTGTACTATGAGCCAGCAGGACACGATGATAAATCTGATCGTCCTCTTACCTTCAGGGAATTAGTATTTGATTCTAATGGACATAAGAGCAAGAATAGCTGCTATTTATTTAGGGATCGGGCACTGTGTTATGTGCTTTACCTGCCCTGAGTGACTAGTGCCATCTTGGAGATACAAAAACGATACACTAATGGGTTAAGTAACTTTGCTGAGGCCACACGACTATTAAGGGGGACAGAGCAGGGACTGTAAATCAGACAGTCTGACTCCTATCACACTTGGCGAAATGCTAGGTTGAAAGGTGCCGAGTAAATTCGGTTGTTAGTAAATGAGCGGAGGGCCTGCAGGCTATCAAAATTGTAGCACATGCGACCAAAGTGGAGTAGGTTGATACGACCCAGCTAGGGAAGACATTATGCCCTTTCCTAAAGAGCTGCATTAACTCCCTGTTTAAGCAGAAATGGATTTCGATGTTGGCTTCGGATCTGAACATCATTCAGTCAATAACACTTATTGGGCGCCCCTGTATGCAAAATAGGTGTTTCCGCCACTTCCTCTCCTACCCACATCCTGAAGCAGGGAGGGGAAGTGGGGAAGAAAAGGCAAAGAGGGCGCGGAGGTCGGCAGGTGGGCATCCCGGGTCCTCCCCAGCCTCACCCCACCGTCCGCGCCGGCCACGCCCCCAGCCTCGCCCTAACCCCCAAACCCACTTTGAACTCCCGCCCCCTCTCAACGACGACCAATGCCCGGCCGGGGAGCCCGAAGGAGGCCGAGGATTGGCCGGCGCCGCGGTTGCCGAGGTGACGGGTGGGTCCGGCGGAGACCCCGACCGAGGCGGGGGCGAGGGGTGCCGGGCGGCTTCTGCCCCGGGCCGCGCCCGCTCGCCTTGCCCCCCGCCCCCCGCGCGTCGCGGCCGGCACCGCTCGGCTGCGGGAGGGGGCGGGCCGGCTCGCCCCCCGGCGCGGCGCGCCCCCCGCCGGCCTCAGGCTCGGGGCGCGCCGCCCTCCGCCTCCGTCTCCGCCCCCAGGACCCGCGGCCGCCTGCTCCCGAGCGCGGCTTCCCCCGCCGGCGGCGCGATGGGCTGCGGGAACTCCACCGCCGCGAGCGCGGGCGCCGGCCGAGGTGAGCGGGGGCGCGGGCCGGGCGCTCGGGGGCGGCGGGGGGCTCTGCGGGGCGCGGGGGGAGAGGCGGCGGGGCGGGGCGGGGGGAGGCGGCGCGGCGGGGCGGGGACCCGGGGGGAGGCAGGGCGCGCAGCCCTCCTGTCCCCGTCCCCATTTTCGGGACGGGGGGCAGCCCGCCCGCTCTCGAAGGGACACGAAGCAGGGCATTTCGCCCCGCGGGCGGGGGCGGGGGCGGGCGCGCCGGGACCAGGCGAGCCTGCGGGGCGGTCCTGCGGCGGGTGCGCGGGGCGGCGGGGGGGGTCGCGCCCGGGCTCCCCTGCAGCGGGGAGCCCGGCTCCCTCCCGGGGGAGAGGACTCCCGCCCGCGGCCGGGCCGCCCCGCGGGCCTCGCCCCCAGCCCCCCGGACCCCCGGCGCTGCAGCCGGAACGTGCGGCGGAGCCATTCAGGACTTTGGTGGTGGTGGTGGTGGTGGTGGTGTCGGCAAGAGCCGCACGCCGGGCTCCGAAAATTCAACCGAGTCTGTCCTGAAGCCTAAAACCGACCGGGCTGCCCGTAGGATTTCTCCTCCGAGAAGCTGCAGTATTAAGGACGCTCTAAGGGAAGTGTGACAGAGCTTTAATATCAGCAGTGATCGCTTCATTTGTTTTTCCCTGACAAATATACTGAAACTTCTTTCACACCGATTCCTTTTGTTGATTGGTAAATTTTCCCACCTCAGCCAGCCAGGCTTTGTTATCAAGTGACTTCTTCCAAAACTCAACTCTCTCTTCCCTTTTAACCCAGCCAGCGTCTCCCGATGTGAGTCTGGATCTGTCTGGAGTCCTATCTGCTGGCCTATGTTAGTAATTCTTTCGGTTAAAGAACTCCTAATCTCCTCCGGTTGAGATCAGTCATCCTAGGCCCACCGGCGAATGCAAAGGGCAGTCCGATGCCGCAGTCTTTCCTAGCAGACTGGTGTGGACGTCTTGTCTTTGTGACCTTGGGCTTGTCCCTTCCCTACCTCCAGACCCCCGTGGAGGATGGAGTTTAAAATTCGAGCTTTATCTGTTTATTTATTTTAAAGTTTATTTTGGCGCTTGCTTAGTGGGATCAGATGTGGAGGTCCGCTGTTAACCGCCAAGTTTGTTTTCCCTGTTTGTGGACCTCACATGGAATATTCCGTTTTCAGAGAAGGCACTAACATATGTGGGATTCTAGTCTCAGAGCTGTGACTGAACCCAGGTAATGATTCACTGAAAAGTTGACCTCTTGCACGTGATCTCGGTCATCTTGAATTAAATTCTTGTCTTTGTGGTGTGCAGACAGCCACCAGGGAACAAATCTTTTCCACCCATGTAACAGTGAAACAGGTTAGTTATCTTAGTAAGCACCTTATGCTAATGAGGCCTGACAGGATTCTGACTTGAGAGCGGCCAGAAAGCTCTGCCTGGAGACTTGGAACAGTAGCAAACCCACATCCCGCACCATACATCCTGTCTCTCAATCCGACCTGCACTAGGACCCCTTGCAGTCCACCTCAAGGTTAGAACAGGGCACCTGGGTGACTCCATTGGTTGAGCATCCTGATTTCAGCTCAGGTCCTGATGTCACTGTTCAGGAGCTCGAGTCCCGCTTCTGTCAGTGCAGAGCTGGCTTGGGATTCTCTCTCTCCCACTCTGCCCCTCCTCGACTCAAGCATGCGCTCTCTCGTTTTCTTTCTCAAAATAAGTAAATAAACTTAAAAAAATAAATAAAAATTTAAAAAACTTTAAGAACAATTATCCACGTTAAAAAATCATAGGAAGATTTGTAACATTTCCTTTAAAGTGGAGCTATACAGCAGGTTAGTTCAGTTACATTTTTATTTATTAATGAACTGCTTGTCAGATTTGGGGCTAGGAGGGAGGGGTGCCATTGCGACATCGGAGCAATGATAAGGTAATATGGAAATGGTAATGGAAGAAAATGGGAAATTAGAGTTCTCTTTACAGATACTTGGTTGTATCACACACAATCTAGGTGCATATCTCTTATTACACATAAAAGGAGGTATAGTTATATTGAGCAGAATGTGCAAAGCGCACGTCTTCTGGTGGGGTAGCCTCTCTCTTGTTTATGAAGGACAGTTCCTGTAAGAGCATGTCGTTCTCTCCTCTAGCTTGCTCTGTGCTAAAAATTACTTTTTGTTCAGGGAAGAACAAGATAGCCAGTGCAGACTGTAAAACACGACGGAGAAAACATGAGCAAGGACTCACTGCATCGCTTCTTTGATGATTCTTGCCTTTAAGAAGTCATTCCCCAAATATTTCCTTGCTAGAGTCCAGCTGGCTAGCTTTGGGATTTGGTCATTGTTATTTTGAAATTTTCTGTCAGCTGGTGGTAGGACTTGAGTTTCAGAAAGGAAATGCATCAGGATGAACTATGTAAGGTTAAGAAAAATAAGCCACAGTGCAAAGGTATTGGAATATCTTTTGGTTGTGAACTTTGACATCAGCATCAAAACCACTATTGGCCAAGTTGCAGATGTGTGGTCCTGAACTCAGATGGCATGAAATGCATTAAGTAGCTTGTCCCTTCCTCCAGGTATTTACTGTGCACAACTTCTGAGATATCCCAGGGTCATACAGACCAGTAGCTATACTTGAGCTTTTCCGCAATCCATCCATCCACCCACCCATCTGTACATATATACACAAATACAAAAGTACAGAGAGAAGGTGGGAAGGTGTGCTGAACTTGGAGCCTGAAGACTAGGGCTCAAGCTTGACTTTGGTTCTATGCTGGTTGCATTGCTAAGGGCATTTCATTTCACTTTTTTGAGTTACAGAGTGAAAGCCCTGCGTAAACTGTAATTATTTTGGAGTAGTGGAATATTACCATGTTGAAGGTGAATTGGCTTTCCCTGAACATTTTTCTACAGGAACATGGCAAATCTACTTCCAAAGGGTGTGTCAGCACATAATAATAATACCCTTAAACCTAAAATCTTCATTAAAAGCCCTGTTTACTCTCTAAGTAATTCAGGTAAAAGAGATAATTGTTTCTTCTCTCCCTGAGCTACCTGAACAACCGCCTTTCCTGGTTTTTGTCTGGAGAGATTGGTTAATATGACAAATTGATATTTAGTAGTGTACTTGTGTAAATTTGATTCTGTATGTCCAATATATGGAGAAACTGATATGCAGTAAAATGATCAAACAGCCATAAGGAGTCAGCCCCTAGATCACTCAGGCCCCAGATAATTTCTCCTAAAGGAGATTTCTGACCGCAACCTTATACACAGTCCACCTCTATGTGCAGAGTGCTATACTTTACCAGGGGCTTTAAGGCAAATGCTGAGCATCCAGCAATGGGTGATTGAAATTAAACTTTCTTTTTTTAGGGGCGCCTGGGTGGCTTAGTCGGTTGAGCGTCCGACTTTCTCTTAGGTCATGATCTCGCGGTTCGTGGGTTCGAGCCCCGCGTCGGGCTCTGTGCTGACTGCCAGCTCAGAGCCTGGAGCCTGTTTCAGAGTCTGTGACTCCCTCTCTCTCTGACCCTTCCCTTCTCACGCTGTCTCTCTCTCTCTCCTAGAAATAAATAAAACTTAAAAAAAAAACTTTCTTTTAAAAAAAAATTTTTTTTTAATGTTTACTTATTTTTGAGAGTGAGAGAGATAGAGCACAAGCAGGGGAGGGGCAGAGAGAGAGGGAGACACAGAATCCAAAGCAGGCTCCAAGCTCTGAGCTGTCAGCACAGAGCCCGACGTGGGGCTCGAACCCACGAACCTGCGAGATCATGACCTGAACCGAAGTCTGACGCTCAACCGACTGAGCCACCCAGGTGCCCCAAACTTTCATGCCCTTGAGAAGTTGATAGCCTAGGTAGGAAGATTAACCATTTGAGAACATTTACAAAGCAGAGTATGGTAAAATGCACATTGAACATCCAAGTGCCCAGGAGATGTTGAATAATACAGTTTAATCCAAGGAGGCTTTGGGAAGGAGTTGAACTGCTGGTCCAGATGGGGTCATGAGAACCATTTTGATTGCATGAGAGCTCTCTCCACTGTAATGTTTTAATAAGATCACTGTCTCAATGTAGGAATTTGATTTTCCCCCAACCTAGAACTGTGTTGGGTTTCCTGCGTCATCTAGAGTCTAGAGCCTAAATGATAGAGAAACATCTGGATTCAATAATCCATTTTAAAAGTGCTGCATATACTGTAAGGCAGGGAGCTCTTGCTCTTTCTCTCTGCCCCCCACCTATCTCAGCAATCAGATTCTCTGTCGCTTTGTTTTCCTTTGAACATAATTTTTTTTTTTTTTTTTTAAACTAAGCAGAGAATGGAGCAGCCCTGCATTTAGGCTAATGATCTAAACAGGTCAGCCATTCCTTTTTATATAATCAGATATATAGATGGCTAAGTGAGTCTGCAATATAAGCCAGTCTCTTTTTAGGTAAACTAGAAAATCCCTTATAAAGTTTGGATGGTTCCAAATGTCTACAATAGCCTATTTCAGTGCAGGCTAAGACTGTAGAAGTTCTTTGCAGCAGAGGACTTATATCAGAAGTAATCTGCTCATGATAGTTGACTGAATTTTTTAGTTGTAGTTTTCCTACCAGAGATATATAATTGGCAACTGTCTGATCATAACTTTGTGGCAACTTATTATCAGAATGTTTCCGTAACTGTTCTTCTGCTATTTGTATAACAATAGTCTGAAGAGGAGGAGTTTAACAATTATTTATTCTGTTTTATCAGTGTACCCAGGGAGTTAATACAATCCTTTTGGGTCCAATTATTTAGATTAGTTTTCTTCTTATCCTCAATTAGCTAGATAATTGCATTCTCTTCTTTTGATGTAGCTGTGTGGTTCAGCTTTAATTTACATGTATAAATGGTTTGGTAGTCCTGAAATGTTGCTACTGTCCTTAGCATATGGGGATAATATAAAATTTTGTTGATAGCATCCAAGAAATTGCTTATGTCATAAGTGACTTTTTTTTTTTAATGTTTATTTATTTATAGACAGAGTGCAA